GGTGTGGTAAAATTCTGTATGTCGTGTCAGCGACTCGTTGGCCGTCCCCAACCATTATCGAAATCACCTCCGACCCCGTAAAACTTCCGCTGACCCATGGTTGAAACAGGTCACAATGTCTCGGTGGCCTTCGCGCTTAACATCGCTGCTGGCGCTGCCACGATTCTTGGAGGAATGGTCGTCTTTAGCAAGCGTCTCGTATACTTGGCCAACCCATTGAGTTTGGCCGTTGCGCTAAGCATTTCATCCGGCGTGATGCTGTTCATCTCGTTGGTAGAAATCTTTGGTGAATCAGTGCATCTGCTAACGGAAGGGCTAAAGACCGATGACATGACGGAGGAGACGGCAACAGGCCATGGATGGCTCTCGGCAACCGCATGCTTCGCCGTCGGCATCTTGCTCATCTACTTCATTGATATCATTGTCCACAAGATTTCGCCAGAACATGAGATGACGGAGATTGAAAACCTTCAAGATGTTCGTGAGTCCATGCGCGAGTTTGAAAGTAACAAACAGTCGAACAAATTCTCGACTCCCAACTTGGAGGCCGGTCCGCAAACCTGTGCCGAGCCTACCACCCAATACTTCAAGATGGACGAGAATGCCAAGAAGGCCCTGCAGCGCATGGGTGTGCTTAGCGCTCTTGCCATTGGTATCCACAACCTGCCGGAGGGTATTGCTACCTATGTTGGCGCCATCCAGAACTCTTCTGTCGGATTCTCCCTCGCTGTTGGTATTGGTCTGCACAACATCCCCGAAGGCATCGCTGTTGCTGCCCCCATATACTTCGCCACTGGTTCTCGCTGGCGTGGAATTATGTGGTGTGCTATCTCTGCTGCAGCTGAGCCTGTTGGCGGAGTCATCGCGTGGTTGGCGATTGGTGACGGCATGGACCCCGTCTCGGAGGGTATCCTGTTTGGAATCGTGTGTGGAATCATGGTGTGCATTTGTGTGAAGGAGCTGATCCCTACGTCATACAAGTTCGCTAAGGGCAAGGAGCACATTGTTGCTGTGGGCATGTTTGCTGGTATGTTCATCATGGTTTCTAGTCTAACGCTCTTCGGATACGCCGGTGTGTAATGTAGAAATAAGTTACACAGTGAGGCCGCCAACAGTACTCGTTTATAATGCGTTGTTTAATCTGAAATTTGAATTTGTGCTTCAATAGAATTGCTTCTTCTCCAAGTGTTAGTACTAAAATACTACACAACGTAGTACTACGAAGTCCATCAGTTATAGAAGTATGTCACGTAGTACATTTCTTGGAGACGAAAACTCTGTAAAAATAGCAGGTTTTTAGTAGAATTTTAATATTATTATGTTCAATTTTTTCGTAAAAAACGGGAACGAAGTGCTGTGATACTACTACGTTGTTAGTACTACTGTTGTACTGGTTCTATTATTATGTTGAAGCAGTTCAGATTTTCTAAAACTGACCCTACTCAACTACATGTACTGCATAAGCTAAGTGTAATATTGTATGACAGTACTTTCAACGTCTCAAAAATACAAGAGGAATAGCTCAATAAAGTAGGGTATTTACTTAACTTCGTCTGACGAAGATAATCAAAGCTACCTTAGCGCAACATTCAAGTAACGTCACCTTACTGTGACCAGTCGGGGAAAAGCTTTTGGAGATGGCAGGCGATACCAACGTGGAATCGATTGTGGACTTGATGGAGAGTGAGCTTGGCCCCTCTTCCAAGAAGCAAGATGCGTCCGCAAGGGCGAAGTTCAATGCCTTCTTGACCAGACATGTAGACAAGACTCTGAAGCTAGCTACGCTAACAGCAGCTCATGTGACAAAAGAAATGTTTGGTAAGTTTTTATCTTTTTTGTTTAATGATCCTGACATCCATTGGCAGACGTCGATGAGCTATCTCAGCGTCAGCTGGAAGAGACGACTGGCACAGAGCTTTTCCGCAACGATCCGGAGTGGTACCGACGATGTCGTCGTCATCTTCAAAAACAATATCTCATGCTTTCCATTTCGACTGGAAAAAAGCTGAAGCAACAGGCTCCTCCTATGACACTAGACGACTTACGTTCCATCTCTACAACTCTCTTTCTTCGCAATGATGTCGAAGCGCTACTAGACAGAACTCTGCTTAACAATCAATGGCTAGCAATTGGACGCAGCTCGGATATTGGCACCATTCACTTCTCAGACTTACACTGGAATAGGAACTTTGTTCTCATCGACGTCACACGGTAAGAGTTAGCTAGTACTATTTCTTCTGTTCCTATTAATTGAGTTTTCGTTCTGCAGCATAAAAGTTCGACAACAACAAAGTATTTCGATTTTCTGTTCTCCTATATGCTGGAGTATTGACCCTTTCCATGCTTTGGCATCTCAGCTAATTGCCAATCCGTATAACGCCTCGCCAAGGGTGTTCTCACAAGTATTAACGACTACGACGGAAGCGCATGTGGCTGCGTACATCAACAGGTTATTGAAATCCATGTACAAGTATGATCACACGTTGACACTTACGAGAAATCTCCAGTCGCATTCAACACGACGAGGTGGTGCGGCGTACGCCAGCTCAAACGCCAGCGTGAACTTGTCGGATCTAGCCCACAGAGGATTGTGGTCAATGGATGGATTTGCAACTCTTCTCGAATACATATCACCTACCACTGCTGCAGACCAAAATGTTGCTAAAGTGCTGGGCGGCTGGATAGATACCAAGCAAGCTGGTCATCCACCCTCGCTAGCCTGTTTCGAGATGGAATCACATCAAACATACACCAGAGTTAGCCAATTTGCTGACTCTTTACGGCTTCTCCATTTTGCAAAGATTTCCCCGAAGGGTTTTGCTGACTGTCTTACCGCGACGCTTTTAATGTATTACCGAGACACGCTAGCAATTTCCCCACAGCACATTGTTCACCAGAAAATGCAGAGTGTACACGCCGCGTTACCACAGCTGCATTCGTGTCAGGAGGAGCTGCTGGACTGGGGTAGCAAGATCCGGAAGCGGTTTGTTACTGATAACATCCTCTCGCTTCCAGTAGAAAGTATTAAAAGCAGTCTCACGATGGAAGAACAAGCGGAACAATTTGTTGGAGTTCATACCTTTGGGGATACGCTTGAGAGGTTATTACTTGGGCATCAAGAACTTGTTGCTGCATATGAAAGTCTGAAAAACATGATGCATCAAATATTAGATAGGTTAGATCACATGCCTCGCATGGAGCACACCGTGTGCGCTGTGTGCAGTACCGGCAACGTGGCGGAGCAAACCCAGCCACCAAATGCAGCCTCAACACTGGAACTGCGTCCTCCAATGGTAGAACAAACGTGGCCACACAGCTTATCCAGCTTGAGGGGCAAGCGTCTGTCCGACTTCTTGGTGCAGTATTTCGTGGAGGGTCTCGGTTTTCTTTCCAAATCCCGTGGCAACAGAAGTCACAAGGACTGCTAGCGTGCTGTCGAAATTGTGGCGTACGTTGCTGATTTGTCTAGTATACCACCTATCCCAGCGCCAGTTCACGAGTCGGAAAGGATGCAGTGGATGTCTGCTATGGTAACCATGGCTAGTCAATGCGAGACATTGTTAGTGACAGGCTTGAGCAAAACTGACAAAGTAGAACGAGGGAAATGCAAACGACGTAGGTCTGGTAAACTTACAGGAATTGTCAAAGCCTGGAGCGAACTAACTGATGGTCAACGGGCTGCCTTCCGCTCGTTGTCGCGCATCCGCTTTTCAGCGTCGTGACTACAGAGTAGATATGACTAAAAAGCTGAAGACCACAGAAAAAAATTGATTAAACAGAAAGATTAGAATAAAGGCCAATTTAGATTTCTGCCGAGACAGCCATACCTCAGCGGTTGCCCTCGCCAAGTTCATACTGTCATAATGCGCCTCAAAGACTAATTGCGGCATGCATTCGCTTTGATCGCGAGGCTCTACCATCCACAACATAACTGCGCCCTTCATTCTAGCGCAAAAGTAAAGACGACAGACAGTAGTTAGCATCACACTCAGCAAACCGACAGTATTAGCGTATGTACCTGCGCTCCAATGGCCTGCAAGCGTAATGCAGCTTGGCGTGCATCCGTTGAGAAAAGTGGTAGGGTCTCATGGACCGATGGTGTCTTTGTGGCGGCTCTGTGGCAGCTCTTCCGACTGGGCAGCTCTTCCGACTGCAAAATACACAAGGCTTCCCGGGGATAAACCAGGTTCGGCAGTGGACGATGTAGGCACCTTGGTGCTTAAGCAGACGTGGTCTTGCGCTTGGAGGAGCTCTAATACATCAACACACCACAAGCAATTAATTAGCCAACAGAGGGATCGCAGAGAAAGAGTAGATGGAGTAGCACATACCCCCCGCAGCGCATCTAGTTGTACGTCGTCCAAACGAACTCACCACGCACTCGTTTAAGCCGTCCTCGCGGACTCCGACGCTTACTTGCCCCTCCGAGAATTCGCCAGTGGTCTGTTCTATTTTAACCAATGAATTTTGCAGACGAAGTTAGCGGGGGTACGTTTACTCTCCCATAGTTAGTTTAAGTGTATACTGAGCGCTACCAATATCTGTTATCTTCGGCCGAGTTCCAATAGACTGCAACGGCCGAAGTTAAGACGACGTTAGCGGGTACAGAGCTTTAGATGTTGGAATAGCACTCTACAGTAGATAGCATATAAATAATTAACGGATAGGTTACCTAGGGATTGAAAAATGCCCATTGTATCGCGAGGGAAAAGAAGCAGTCAAAGCCACAACCAGCACGGACCCAAGTGTATCATCTACATCTTATTACGACTTATGAAAATGCAAGAAAACGTCCTCGCTGTGACGACAGACCTTAGGAGATGACGGGAAGCGGTGCGAGGCGAGGCGAGGGTCTACATAGTGTGTTGGCTATTCTATCTATCACCTAGCTCTAGGTCGTGAGGTACTGGTCCAAGGACTCGCCCGAGATGTCCTCGATCTGCTTGATCACACGGTGACACGTCTTCTCCACTTCGTCGTTCGTGTCCTCCATAAGCTCCGCCAGGAACGGGATGCTCTCAGGTAACATGGCCAGGAACTCGTCTCCAATCACCTGGTAGCACTTCTCCACCGTCACCAGCGCCGCGAGACGCACCAACGCGTTGTCTCCACGCGACTTCATCAGCACCGCGTAGTGCAGCGGCTTCCACAGCAGATCGCTCTTGGCAGCCCACGCCAAGTTCGCCAGACACGGAGCCACAGTCTCCAACACGAACTCGCGCATCGACGCGTCGTATTGCAGCACGTCCAGCACATTTACCAGCGGCGTCAGCACCACGTCGAACCGGTCCTTCTCCATAAAGCCGTCGTTATCGTGCACGAAGCAGCCGTCCAGCGCGCGCACCACGGTGGTCAACAGCAGCGTATTCCGCTCCCGCTCGGCCTTCACATCCGTCGTGGCCGAAGCACCCAACTTCGCCTTTTTGACCGGCGGCTCGTCCTCATCAGCGAAGAAGTCGTCGTCATCGCTGTCGCTGTCTTCTGTAGATCGCGGTGGCTTGTGCATCAGCACCTTACGACTCTCCCCAAGTGCCGACGTAAAGAACTCCAACACGTGTGCGTAGTACGGCACGAAGATGCCTCGCAGACGCTCCGACAGCTTGACAACCAGCTTGGAGAAAGAAATGCGACGTGCGATGTCACCAGCCTTTCCACAAGAACCAACGCGTGTCTGCGCCCACTCCGCAAGCTTCAAGAACAGCGGCTTGAGCTGCTTCTCGCTCAGTTTCAAGACAAACTGGACAAGACACTCCAGCACTTGTTCCTCCACTTCCTCCACGTCTTGGAGCTTAGACGCATGAACACGACGAGCATCCAACGCTGTGACGAAGAAGCGAGCGAACGAAGGCAGGTGCTTGCGGATAGCCGACGAGTCCAAGTCGTTCACGACAGTTCCCACAACCGAGAACAAGCGCGTCACGCTCGTGTCGCTCTGGAGCGTCAAGACGTGCTCATATGCTCCGAAGAGCGTGGGGAGAAGCTGACGCAGCTCCACGTGGTTGCACAAGTTCAAGAAACAGCAGTCCACGGACATCAACACTTCGGCATTTGCTGGCGCAGACGAGAGCAGCGACGGCGTCAGGAGCGCGCGGATCACAGCAGGCAGATACGGCCCCAGGAACTGCGGAATCTTGTCCGTGAACACTTCGAGAGCAGACAGCAGACACTGCAGCACCGCCTTGGTACCACTGACTCCATTCGTCGACGAGCAGTACTCGATTCCGCTCAGTAGTCTCGGGAAGAACTTTGGTAGAAGAGGGAACACCACGGGCCCCACCGCACGACAGATCGAGGACAGACACACGAACGCACAGCCGAACAAGTGCAGCGTCATGGGAGAAGAGTTGACCACGTCTTGATCCACGTACTTGACGATAGTCGGCAGAATCTGCTGGAAACGTTTCGTGTGGTCTGCAGCGAAGTTGCGAGCTAAGATGTCGACGCTGAGCAGCGCAGTCTGGATGTTGACGCTGTTCTCCGAGCCTTCCGGGTTCTGGAGGATCGCGTCCAGCTCGTCCAGCATGTCAATGAACAGCAAGGCTTCACCCGAAGAGAGAGAGTCCCGCTCGTCTTGTAGACGCTCGTTGAAGAGCTGCATCGCCTTCTTCCGCACCAAACTGTTGTCGTGGTGCAGCAATTCGCTAATAACTGCCACGAAGCCAGGTGTGGACAGAAGCTGCTGCAGAGCGCCGAGAATTTCCATGGAGTCGGTAGCCAGCGACGTCCAGAAGCCGCTCTCGTCATCATGCAGAGACTGTTCCCGAGCCACGCGACGGAAGTAGAGCAAGTCCAGTTGAGCCAGCATCAGATAGTTCTGCTGCAAGGCGTCGCCCTCTTCCTCGTCCATCTCCTCGCGTGCACTCTCATAGCTCAAAATCTTGTGGTGCAACTCACGAGCTCGCAGATGCGCAGCCACAAACTTGACAAGGAACGAGTTCAGTTGACGAGACAGCGCGTTCGATTGCGCCAATCGCTCGGCCAGCACGAATCGCTCGTACTCCACGTCGTCGTCATCTTCGTCCATCTCGTCCGTGTCGGTATCGGCCTCTTCCACCACGTGAGGAAGCAAGTCACGCGCCATACGCAAAACCATCACGAGCGACGACACTTGCTCAGTGCAATCAAAGCTGAAGCACAAGCTGTGTGCAAACTGAATACGTTCACGCTGTTCGTCCCTGTCCTTCTCCACCGCAGCTTGTTGCAGTAGCGCCACAGCACAATACGGCAGAAGATCACTTCCGAGAGAGCCCACCACCACTTCGAACAGAGCTTCTCGCTTGCTCTTGGGGATCTGGTTGAACGCGTCCACAAACAGACCAATGAACCGCTGCGGTGTGATCAACGCGTCCGAGTTGTGCTTCTTGGCTGCGACGATATGAGGCACCACCGCCTTGATGATCGTCTCCAGCACGTGAAAAGAATACTCATCCTCGTGACGAATCGAACCGGCACTCACGAAGCTCAGGATCTTGTCCAGCGACGTCAGCACACTGGCCGGGTGTAAGTTCACCAGCGAACTAATGAACAGCAACGCCTCGTTTCGCGTCTGAGGAGATGAAGTACGGCCTAGACACGTGAGCGTGTGCTTCACCAAAAGCTCGGGCTTTACCGTCACCGAGTGATCCGTAGCCTTGACAGCACGGCCATTCGCTTTCTTCGAAGAGGAGGAACTGACTTCGCAGACACGACGCAAGCAGCTGAAAAGCACTTGCAAAATGTATTCCGACACAACATGTTCGTGCTTGGGATCGCAGAACAACGCCAACACGTCGCATAGAGCCGTCAGTAGCTTGCTGATATCAGCGTCGGCTTCCTCGTAGCTCGAATCGCTGTCGACCTTAATCGCCAGCACTTCAAGAATGCAACTCAGTTCGGAAAACTCCACCTTGAAACCCGATTGCTCCTCCAGCAGTCGCACGAAGATGTTGTAGCTGATTGGCAACGCGTTCAGGCACGGAATCAGCTTGGAAGCGAGAGCTTCCTCCGCTACCATCAGCAAACGAAGCAGTTTGTCCACGAGAACATGACGAGAAACGTCATCCAAAGCGTTGTAGAACTCAGCCGATAGGCTCGCAGCAACGAAGAGCTGGAGCTTCTGCAGGTGCGTAACAACCTCCTGTTCAGAGCGCAACACAGCAACCAAGACGTCCACGAACTCCTTAGGAACTACACGCTTGCCTTGCTTCGTCGTTGTAACAGCAACGTCCGCGTCCAAGTAATGCGCAAGGAAGCCTGTCAGCAACTTCTCAGTCGCGTCCTCCGCGCCAGACGCCGAGCACCCCACGAGCGCTTGCTGGAAAAAGTCTACAGATTGCAGCCAGAAGTTCGTTTCCTTGACAGGTGCCAGCAACTCAAGAAGCTTCACCGCAATGCACAACTCATCGCTACTTGCAGACGACACGAAGTCTATGAGTAATTGGTGGAAAGCCGAGCTGCCTCCCTGGGCTCTGTACGTGCCACAAAGTGCCACTACCGAGTTGGCATCCATCAGCATATCCTGCTTGGCCTGCAGGAAGAACGTTGACGCCTTCTGGAGCGTCTTCAGGTCAGTAGACTTGGATGAGCACACGGCGTCACCACACGACACAGCCCATCGGTCCAGACACGAAACAGCAGCTTGGCGCACAGCCTTGCTAATATCCGAGAGCGCCACAATCACCACCGGGACAGCGTGGACGAGCTGGCGGAGTTCGTCATCAGACTCCATGTACGAATAACCTTCAAGAACCGCCGAGATGATATCGAGTGAGCGTGTCTTGGTCAGGACCTTCAGAAGGTCGTTAGCAGGGGCAGGATTCGTGACAATGCGGGCCATCGTCGGTAGCAGTTGAGTCTCCAGGTCTGCGTGGAACAGCTCCAGCAAACATTCTTGAATACGAATAAATACGGGGGTCGGAGACTGCAGCAAAGTCGCGACGCATCCATCAAACTCATCACGAGACACAGCAAACACGTCGTACGCGACCTCGGCCAGCTTAGAAGCAACGTGCACAGCGCGTGTAACTTGCTCCTCCGACACCTCATCCTCGCACAGCGACACGAATTCCTTCTTGAGAATAAAGCGGAACGACTGGTCCAGCGAAAGCTGCTGCTCCTTTGTCTTCTTTGACTTGGGCTTGTTCGATGCCAAGTGCGTCCGAGCTGCAGACAGAACTTCCACTAGAAAGCCCGTAAGTGGAACCTCGTTGAATTCTGTCTTCTGAGACCAGCGCAAGCAGTACGGCAATAGCCCTGGTACGTCAGCTGCAAGAGTCTGTCCAAAGTGCTCAGCCACATCAGCGACAGCATTCACCGACACCTTAGAAGCGTCAGCACCGAGCGGATGGTCTAGCGAGGAGATCCAGGTCCACACGGTATCCACCGGAACGACAGTCTTCTTCGTGCTCACGAGAGAAACAAACAACGTCAGCAAATTGTCGTCTGTGTCCGACGACACCGCCACCTTGCGGAAGTTCTTTAGAGCGAAATCAGCAATAGCCTCGACGACAGATGCGTCTCCACGCGACGTCCACTTACGAACTGCCTGTACGATCGCAGCGAGCGTCTTCTTCTTGGAGCTCAAGCTGAGCATTAGATCGCCAAGAGAGCTAGACACCATGAAGCTGGCGATGCGTTTGCTGTCGTCCAGCAGTCGACGCACCAATACATCCCCGCTCGTAAGCACCTGGTCCTTGTCCGTAGCATTCGCGTCGTTCATCTTTGCTAGCGACACCAACGCCTGGTACCGGATGTGCTCAGTCGGGTGGTCCAGCGCGAGGGCCAACGAGGTGTTCGCGTCCGTGTTGGAAGGCACAAAATGCGCCGAGTTAGCGACGTTCTCGAACGTCTTAGTGAGGAATTGGTTGAGTTTCTTGTCGCCCTTGGACTTCTTCGTCTGCTTGGACAACATGCCGTTAACCACCGCGTCCACTTTCGTTGCATTCTTCTTGCTGAGAGCAACGAGAGCCTGTGAAATCGCATGTACACGTTCGTTATCCGTGGCAAATGCCTCTTCCTGAGCCTGTTTAACCATCGTTTCAACCAGATCGTCTGTAAATCCGTCGACCACCGAAACGCTCTCAATCAATGTCGTCAATAGACGGAAGTAGTCGTCGTCTGTGGATTTCATGTGCTCCGTCAAGAAGACTGTCAGCAGCTGCACAAACGTAGCCGACTCGTAGTTGAACGTAGCGTCACGCAGGAAATCCGCCGCGTTCTCCATCTGCACGAGGTGTTTACCGGCACTACTGGACAGGCGGAACGACGGTTGAGTCTGTGCTAGAAAAATGACGCAGAGTAGTGCGTTGAGCTGAGCGCCGGACTGCGCGTACTTGACGAGATTCTTCACTAGAGCGTCCACCACTTTGGCTGTCAGTGTGGCCTTAGACGCCATTTTAGTCACGATCATGTACGCCGAGGACTGCAATTCCGGGAAGCTTGTGGTTTTCAGTGCTGTAAGTAGCTGTGGAATCAGCCAGCGAAGCATCTGCTCGCTCACTTTGCCCTGTTCAAGAATCTGCAGCACTACGAGTGTGTAGAGCGACGTGAGCTTCGGGTTGCTGGCCCCGATTCTTGTCGCAGTCTTGAAGATAAACTCGATGACGGAGGCCTCGTCAATAGCGCGCTGTACCAGAGCTGCACGCAGCAGCGGCGTGCCCTGGGTCTTGACGCCCAGCATGAACTCCCAGCGGGTGTTCTGGATGTGAAGAATACGCACCATACGCACAAACCACGAAGACTCGTGATAGGCCACAATCATGGCCATGACAGCGTCCACATTATAGCGATGCACCTCATACCGACGGACGAGGAATTCGATCACTTTATGCGCCGCACCTAGTAGAAAGTAAGCGCTGAGCGCGTCCAGCACCTTATCGAGCGCGGCGTTGAGCTCCGGTTCGTCTTGTTTAAGGTTCTGTGCACGGTGGAAGTGGATACGCTGGCGACTGAAGAGCTTGGCCACCTGTGCGTCCGCGTCCAGCTCCTCGAAGCGCGCATCGAGCTGCTTGAGCTCCAGCAGCCCGTTCCACGCCAAATTGTACACCGTCTCGTCGTCCAGACGCGCCGCCTCGCGCTGGTCGTACAGGAATGTGTCGGTACGGCGCTTACTACCGGCGCCGGCCTCGCGAAGCCGCTGCAGCTGACTCGCGAGCGCGCTGGCCATGTTGATCAAGAGTGATTGTCGAGTCAACCCAGAGCCAACCGTCGGCCGTTTTGATACTGGCGTTGAAGTGACTTGGCCTGTGTATGCCTCTTGTCGAATGACTGGCGCCAGCGCTTGAACCCAAAATAAGAATCGGATAAGTACGAAGCCTAATTTTACGTAATTTGGGCTGAATGATCCTGTAGATTTGGGCAGGTTGAAGCTCGGGTTTTGACGTCCTCATTCACAGTTTGGACGCCTGTCGCCGACGCCGACATGAAGGTGCCGAGGGCGCGTGGACGTCGTGTAATAGAGGCGGTTCGCTCAAGACTACATGTAGTAACGAGGTCGATGGGGTCTGCGACGCGCGTTGCAGCTGCCTCGGGCTATCCAAGCTTCGTGAAAATCGTGGAGGTGGGGCCGCGTGACGGACTGCAGAACGAGAAGACCAATGTGTCAACGGACGACAAGGTCAAGTTTATCAACTTGCTGTCCGAAACGGGTCTGTCTGCGATCGAGGCGACGTCCTTCGTATCCCCCAAGTGGGTCCCGCAGGTGGGGGCTGTTGTGCTTCGTTGATACCGGTAGTGCGGGGTAGTGTAACAAGGTGGTTGTGCGTAGATGGCCGACAATGCCTACGTTCTGAAGGGAATCTCGCGGAAGCAGGGCGTTTCGTACCCGGTTCTGACGCCAAATATCAAGGTAATGATTCTCTCTGCTATGAAGTGTAGTTTTGCTGTGTTGACGGTGTCGCGTATGCATCTGTAGGGTTTCGACAGCGCTGTGGCGGCTGGGGCGGAGGAGGTTGCCATCTTCGGGGCAGCGTCTGAGGCGTTCAGTCAGAAAAACATTAATTGTTCGATTGAAGAAAGTCTGGAGCGCTTCCGCCCGGTGTGCGAGAAGGCGAACTCACTAGGAATCCGTGTTCGTGGGTAAGAGATTGCCTGGTGTGCGGGAGTTGGAATTTCAGCTGTAGTAACCTAGACTCTGCATGCAGATATGTTTCGTGCGTGCTGGGGTGTCCGTATCAAGGTCCTGTAGATCCGTCTGCTGTCGCTACTGTTGCTCTAAAGATGCTCGAAATGGGCTGTTACGAAGTGTCTTTGGGCGATACGATCGGTGTCGGGAATCCAGGTAAGTCATCTACTTATTTGAATCGATGGCACCTTGAAGCCAACCATAATTGCTATGATTATGCCCAGCATCTACGCTGGCGATGCTGCAAGCCACCAAGCAGGTCATTCCGGCTGAGCGTCTAGCCGTTCACTTCCACGACACGTATGGGCAAGCGCTGTCCAACATCTTGATCGCGCTGCAGGTGCGTTAAGACCGTAAACTAATAACCCTAGGTTAAATGTAATCTCTCCATGACGTTAAACAACTATAATGTGATTCCAGGAGGGCATCGCTGTCGTTGACAGCTCTGCTGCTGGATTGGGCGGGTGTCCGTACGCCAGCGGAGCGTCCGGAAACGTGGCGACTGAGGACGTGCTGTACATGGTACACGGTCTTGGCATCCAGACGGGCGTGAATCTCGACAAAGTGATAGAAGCAGGAGATTTCATCACAAAGCTGCTCGACCGTCCGACCCACTCAAAGGTGGCTCAAGCTATGGGGTCGAAGTCCAAGAAGACTACCGGTAGTCGTCTCTGATGCCGACGCACATCATCAAGGTGGCCAAATCCCAGTAATGATCATTTGTCCATTTTCACCCAATCATAACGCATAAAATGGAGCTTTCTACCAATCAAACACTTTATCAGCTTCTTTCCATCACTGCTGTTTTGTACACGCATGGGCAGCTCGAACTCCAAGAGCAAGCAGCACGCGTCCTCGACCGGCGGTGCTGACAGCGGCGCTGGAGCCAGCGGTGTTCGCGCGCAGATCACGTCCAAGGACAAGGCCATTCTTGACCTTAAAAACGCCCGCGACCGGCTCAAGAAGTATCAGTCGCGACTCGATATCGAGGCCAATCAACTGCATGACAGCGCCAAGCGACTGCTACAGGCCGGTAAAAGGGTGCGTGGTGTTGCTGGCTGACGGAATGCTGGCATCATAATCTAATAATCACTTGTCCATTGCTCTGTGAGCAGGACCGAGCAAAGCTGGCGCTAAAGCTGAAGAAATACAAGGAGCAGCAGATGCACCAGGCCGATGAACATTTGATCCAAGTGCTGGGTATGCTGGACACAGTGGAGTGGGAGACCCAGCAACTGCAAGTGTTTGAGGGTCTGAAGGCGGGTAACTCCATCTTGAACGCCATACACAAGGTGAGCTCTCGAAGCGTCAGGTTTGAGTTGCTAGATAGTTTCCGTGTATGAGGCGATTGCTGAAAGGTGGGAATTGCTGCAGGAAATGTCTGTGGAAGCGGTCGAAGAGCTGATGCTGGAGACGGAAGAAGCGCAAGTCACGGCAAACGTACGTTTCTTGGCTCTTTATCAGCAACGATGATACTTTTGCACGCGTTGTTTATGTCTCACGGCAATGCATGTAAACTGGCAACAGGAAATTAGCAGGATCATTGGTGGCAACTTGACCGTCGAGGACGAAGACGCAGTGCTCAGCGAACTCGCAGAGATCGAAAAACTGGAGGCGGATGCACTCGCAGCAGCGATGCCCCCGGACCCCACCGCTGCGCTTAACACAGGTATAATACGTCTGATATTTTTCTTTTGCAATTCTGATTCTTACTTCTTCAATATTTCCACTCAGCGGACATTTCGATGGACGTTATCGCTGCAACATCAACAGAAGCAGGTGCCAAATCCAAGACCCGCGCTGTCAAGAACAAGCAGGAAGCTGTGGCAATTCTAGGATGACGTAGGCAACCTCTGCCATATCATATGTGGATTGGATACTAGGTCGCCAATGTGGGTTAAAGTTTTTACCCATCAACATTTGCTTTTGTGACACTAATTAGTGTGGCACAGCTTACTTTCACCAAGTCAAATACACACCAAACAGCTGTAGAAATAGCATACCAATCACTTTGTCACGGTATTCTGATGTACATTCGCGAAACGGCCACCGGAGCCCGCAGACTCACCTCTCCCTTGGCCCCTCCCCTCGTGGCCAGTCCATCATTATCCGTTCTTCCCAATCACTGGACACGTCGCTTCTTTATATGGCTATTGGCTCGCTCTCCACCGCCCCGACGATCGCCTTAGGCGCCACGCACGAGTGCGAGTTTTTCTCGCCATGGTGCGACCCCGCATCCTTCTACCTGTATCTGGCCATGTCGCTGCTGCTGATCTGCGCCGCCGGTATGATGGCAGGTCTGACGATGGGACTCTTGTCGCTGGACATGCTCAACATGCGCATCCTTGAGATGGAAGGCTCGGAGGAAGAGAAGAAGTACGCCAAACAGGTGCTGCCCGTTTTGACCAAGCACCACCTTCTACTAGTGACGCTGTTGATCGTGAACGCCAGTGCCAACGAAGCTCTCCCCATCTTCCTCAACAAGCTGGTGCCTGAGGCTGTGTCTATCTTACTGTCCGTGACGTGCGTGCTGTTCTTCGGTGAGATTATTCCTTCCGCGGTGTTTACCGGTCCTAATCAACTGCGGATCGCTGCCATGTTGTGTCCCTTTGTGAAGCTCTTGATGGCGATCACATTCCCTGTCGGCTATCCGATCAGCCGGGTGCTCGACATGTGGCTTGGAGATGACCACGACCCGGCGCAATACAAACGCAAGGAGATCAAGGCGCTGGTGACATTGCAACGCGAAAATGATGCTGCTCGTCGAACGTTTGTCGACCATTTGCGTCAATCGCACCAGCTTGAAGACACCCCCACGCACTCGCACACCGTCACCACCATGTCGGCTATTAGGGACAAGCAGCCATTGCTGACCCCACACTCACTGTACGAGGACTCAGCACAAGGTACTCGTCTGCATGTGGATGAAGTTACAATTATCCACGGCGCTTTGGATCTTGCTTCGAAGACCGTAACAGAGGTTATGATCCCAATGGAAGACGTGTACATGTTGGAGTTGGACACAGAGCTAGGTCCGGACATGTTGGCGAGTGTTCTGGCTTCTGGACACAGCCGTATTCCCGTGTATGAGAAGCATAAATCCAACATCGTCGGTCTGTTGCTGGTAAAGAAGCTAATCGTGCTGGATCCGGATGATCGTCGACCGATTAGGGACTTAATCCTGCGTAAACCGATCCTGGTGAATCCGAAGGAATCGTGCTACGCGATTCTGAACGAGTTCCAAAAGGGCCGCTCTCATATTGCTCTGGTCACAAAAGACGTCGACGTGGTATTGAGGTGTTGGCGCTCCGATGAAGTAATCCCTCAAAGTGTCGTATTTAAGGGCATCGTGACTATCGAAGATGTGATCGAAGAGCTCATCCAGGAAGAGATTGAGGATGAGAGCGACGTGTATGTCCACGACATTGTGGACTACTGGCAGGCTCGTTACCGCAAGGTCGTGAAAGGAACTGGCTCGGCTTTTGTAAAAAAGCGTCTTCGTCTGCTAGCGGATCGTGCCCGTCGTCGTGTAAAAAGTCGTCGCTCGAAGCAGGCTGCAGAATCTGCGACAGCTAGCTCGATCAGGGTTGCCGGTATGCCTCAGTTGGATGCTCCTATAGAGGTTAAGGTTGTCACCGAAAAAACTCCACTTCTGTAAGGAGTTTCCTGCACATTTAATTGTAGTATCAATCACAACTACTGTAAAATTGCTACCGGTAGGCTCCGCAATTTTTTGCCTGAGTATTTTATAATAATCTATGTTAGAATTCGGCTTTATAATATAATCTTTAAAAACGAAAGGGGAAGCGTCGGAATGTCAAACCTGGAAGAACTAATCGTCATCGTCATCGTCATCGTCCCCCCACAGCTCAAAGTAGTATGGATAATTATGGTGGTGTTTCCAACGTCGAACTTCATCGCTCGCATCGAGACTCGATGCGAGCGATGAAGGACTCGATGATCGCCATCTGGCTACGCATCCGATTTGTTGTCTTGTTCTTGAGTTTGTTCCAGATTTTGACCAGACACGTCTCCATCGGTTCTGCAGCTCCTTTCAGCGAAAGTGCGAGTCCATTGCTGGATGTCAGTAGACCGCAGCTGCAGCCATTATCAAAACTCGTCCTTTGAGCTGCAGAGGAACTCTTAAAATGACCAGCTATAAATAGTTCTAATGCATACATGGCATGGCTTGCATGGCATCGACAACCAGGGATCCTCAAAAATATATTTACTGAAAATATTTTTTTTTCGTTAGAGAAATAATTTACTTATGGTTTGGCCACCATTTGAAATTTTTTTTTGGATTTTATGAATTTATACACGAAATTTGCTGTCCGCCACCAGATTTTCGTTGGCTCTGAGCTGTCTGCAAACTTGTGCCGCCGACTCAAACTCACTTTTTAATTCGCACATAGCCCAGACTACCAACTCTCGCAGCCTTCGCCATGTCCGACGCTTCCCTGATGCCTTCCCAGCACTCGAGGAGCATGTTTCCCCCAAGCCCATTAATCTAGTAATACGATCACGTTTTGATGCAGATATTTATTTGCCACAGTTGCACCATAAATTATTTATTTGCAGATTTCCGATCTACCATGCAGGTATTTATTCTCATTACACGAAGAAATCCATATAAATTATATTTTGAGCAACCCTGCTTATAACTCGTATGACAGGTCGAGAAGAAGTAGGGAGAGGAAGAAGACGTTACTTGTAGGCGTCAAAAGACGAAGTGAGTACTTTATTAGTATTAGGAAGCCACCAATAGCTGTACACCAGCCATTAGTGTCTGTATAGTTTAAGCCAGTCATACCGACTTAAACAGGACCTCCTAGATCTCATTATAATATTTTAGAGTGACTAGGTCAAGGTAATCAAACTGTTTAGAGGCTACTTCAACAGCCTCCCTGCCTCTGAACATATTTTATCAAACTGACAATTCTATGTTATAACAGAGGTAAAACTTTCCTTAAAGGACTTTTCCTCAGTCCTTGAAACGCCGCCAGGAAGTCGCTTAGGCTAGCCGATCTGACTTTGCCCTGCAGTTTCTGCTAGGGAAGGAGGACGCTAAGTGACACGCCTGGTAGGAACTCAAGGATGGAGCCCAACATGTCGTCTCTACTTGCCGCTGCTACGAAGCAGGCTCCCTCGCATCGGTAGAGGCTATTTCGGTGGGCACAGAGCCCTTCCGATCTGCAAAGAGCGCTTCTTATGAGGAGAAGAAGAAGCGGGCGCCGCGGACAGCACTGCAGCTTGCGCCAGCTCTCTTTGCCACGTTGGAGGGGGGGGGTGTATTATCAGGGTATTTCTAAACTGAGTGGCCGGATCCTGCTTTCAGACATTTCATCCTGAGCTTGGCCCTTAGTTCTCTAAACTGGCGCTTATCGAAAGCTTTAGTGAAGATGTCAGCTATCATCTCTTTCGTATTGCAGTAGGTGACGTTGAATTCATGCCGCTCTACTTTTTCTTGCACGAAACAGTATCGTACGTGTATATGTTTTGATCGTCCGTGAAGCTCGGGGTTGTAGCAGATTTTGATGCAGCTCTGATTATCCTCGTATATTGTGTTAGCCTGCGTTGTAGCAAAGCCAAGTTCGTTGAGGAGAAGTTTGAGGAATATCATCTCTTGCATGCAGTGACACAGGGCGATATATTCTGCCTCTGTTGTAGAGAGAACTACAGTATGATGCTTACGCGAAAGCCATAAAATAGGACCGCTAGCTAGCATTGTCACGTATCCTCCAATGGAGCGTCTCGAGTCGGGGCAGTTGGCGTAGTCAGAGTCACTGTAGGCAATTAGTTGATCGGCAAGGTTTTCCGATGTAATATCGGTCGAGCCTCCCAGAAGAAGACGACTGTTTTCCAGTGATCCATACCTGGATTCGCTAGAAATTGGCTGACCTCTCGTATGTAGAATGCCAAATCGGGTCGAGTGCCTACCATTAAATACATGACACTACCTACAGCTTGTCGATACGGAATCGATTTCATCGCATCTTTCTCTTGCTCACTGCTGGGCTGGCTGCTTACGGAAAGTTTAGCGTTCCGTTCTGCTGGTGTTGCAATAGGGTACGGAATGTAGTCGCTGAAGCGGTCAATGACCTTCGTAGCGTACTTGTGCTGGTGGATAAACATCGTTCGGTTTTTACGGTCACGTTGAATTGACCAGCCGAGTAAGTACTTCACCTCCCCTAAATCTGACATGGAGAAACGCTTTTTCAAGGCTGATTTCAGCTCACTGACGAGTGCTGGTGTAGGCGCAATGATCAGTAAGTCGTCGACGTACACTGCAATGTAACAGATGATGTCAGCAACTGTGCGTCGAAATACGCATCGATCTTTAATGAGTTTCAGGAGCCCGAGATTCTCTAGGAAGGCAGACAAGGTTTGGTACCATACACGAGGCGCTTGTTTAAGCTCATATAAGCTCTTAAGAAGTTTACACACTAGGTGCTCCTTGCCCGGGATTTTGAAACCTTCCGGTTGAGCCATGTAGATCTCCTCTTCCAAGTAGCCATTAAGGAATGCTGTCTTAACATCCATTTGATGGACTTCAAAGTCGAGAAGAGCTGCAATAGTAAGAAGTAGTCTAAGTACCTCCATCCTGATGACAGAAGAGAATATCTCGTTGTAGTCGATGCCATATTCCTGAAGAAATCCTTTGATCACAAGACGCGCTTTAAAGCGGTCGATCTCGCCAGTGCCGGTATACTTTACTACAAAGATCCATCGGCTACTTAAAATCTTCCTTCCTTTAGGAGGGGATACCAACACCCAAGTGTGATTGTCCATGAGGGACTTGTATTCCGATTTAGCTGCTTTACGCCACTGGTTAGCGTGGGAAGACTTCATTGCTCCCCGATACGTAGTGGGCTCAGACACATACCGAATAGCTAGTAATGTGTACAGTAAATGCTGACGTTGCTCCTGTTCGTGTATGTCTTCCTCAGAGCTGAGGGTTACGTCATTGGCTTCCTCAGAGATATCAATGGCTTCCGCAGAGAGGCGGGGTCGCTTAGGAGTCGAATGATGCGGAGGATCAGAGTCCGTCTCTGTTCGAAAAGAATAATGTATGGCTGTTCGATCAACAGCCTCCCTCAGTGAGGGCAGTACACGTTGGTTCACTGTGCCTGGCGCTGCTGTCATTGCAGGGCCTGATGTGGGTGACGGTGTGATCACTGGTTCTGACACATGTTCAGGCTCCGGTGCTACTGTAGTAGCAGTTGCAAGTGGCAGAGGTACAGGTGCAAGTGTAGCGGTAGATTTCTGCCGATTCGTGGACTGTGTGGGCTCTGGAGTAGACGTCAGGCCTGTGAGAGAGGGAAATTCGTCCTCTTTAAAGACTACATCACGACTGTAGATAATTGCATGAGTATTGATGTCCATCACACGGTATCCTTTCTTATGGTCAGGCACACCAAGATACATACACAAACGGGCTCTAGCGTCGAGTTTGTCTCGGTATTGCTCCGTGATGTGGACATATTCGCTGCATCCGAATACTTTGATGTACTGCATGGATGGAATACGGTTGTGCCAAAGCTCATACGGGGTTCGTCCATCCGTCTTGGAGCTAGGAGTCATATTGATGAGAGTGGTCACATGACAGACACACTCGGCCCATAACTGCTTCGGTAGCTTGCCGTCAAGTAGAAGGGCTCGGACACGCTCCATAATGGTACGCATGCGGCGTTCTGCAACTCCGTTTTGCTGAGGTGTGTATGCATTGGTAAACTGGGCGTGAGTTCCATACTTTTTAAATATGATGCGGCCAAGCTTCTCGTACTCTTTAGCGTTGTCTGCTTGAAGCCGCTGAATCTCAAAGTTACCCTGGTTTGCATTGTCTTCAACACTGAACGCGTACTCTATGACAGATATATCTTGTCTGAAAATATTCAGGGCTTTCTTCCTGAAGTCTTCGTAACAGCCATACAACTCGCTACGGTTCTTAATTGCATAAGTGAACATGAATCGAGAAAAGTCATCGATGAAGATCAAGAAGTAGCGACAACCAGTAAGGCTAGGCACAGGTAGTGGACCACAGATATCTGAATGGACTTTTGACAAAGGTGATGTAGCACGTTTAACAACTCTATTAGAGTAAAATGGGGAGCGGTGTGACTTCGCTAACGTGCAGGCAACACAAAAGAAATCTGTCTTTGGACCTAGAGGTATAGATCCATCGAGTCCATGTATGGCCTGACTCCTAGATAGGTCATTCAAGACACGAACGTTAGGGTGTCCAAGGCGTTTATGTAAGAGCAGAAAGGAACGTTGCTTACCTGAGGCAATAAGAGCCGCTGGAGGTGCCGCTGGTTTGGCTTGGAACTGATACAGATCCGTGTTGGTAGCCATGAGCGCTTTGATCTTGAAGCGCTGGTCAGTTTGCATAGAGCACTGTTTGCGGTCAAAGTTGAAGCGAAAGTCGTGCTTCACAGCTGCTGGAATTGAAAGCAAACTGAATTGGAGCTGGGGAGCATACAGGACGCCATGAAGGATAAGCTTCTGCATAGTGCCCTTGGAGTCAGTGACTTCCAGATCAACCCGTCCAATGCCTTCGATGGGGATTTGGTTATTACCACCAACCGTAATGGATCCACCACTGGAGGTGATGTCGGTAAACCACTGAGACTCATGGGTGACGTGTCGAGTGCAGCC